TGTTGTACGATTGTATACTTTACCCGCTTATAATGATGGGAGGACTACAAATTCCATTGAAATGGTGTTCATGGATGAACATGTATGTCACCTTCTCTTGATTCATCATATTCCTTCTCATTTTTTTGTTATACATTATATTAGGTCTATTATTCTATATAGGTTTTTTCGTGTGGTATAACTGGCATGTTTTTAGTGTGGTTATATTTGTTTTTTTGGATTATAAGCCTCTCAGTGTGGCATATTCTTAGTGTTGTTGTATTTCTTATTGTGGCATATTGTTGGTGTGGCATGTGAAAGCGTTGTTAAGAAACTGTATGCCTGAGGTGGGTTTACTAATATCAATATACTTAAACTGTGGTTAAGAAAATAGAGTGGTTGTTAAGAAAACAGTGTGGTTGTATGCCTGAGGTGGGTTTACTGATTTGAATATACTTAAACTGTGGTTAAGAAAACAGTGTTACGAAGACAGTGTTAAGAAAACAGTGTTACTGATTTCAAAACATTGTTAAGAAAACAGTGTGGTTGTGTTTGTTAGTGGAGTTAGTGGCATTAGGTATTAAGAAACTGATTTAATCAGCTACTGCGGGTTTAGTGAGGTGTATGGAAATCAGTAACTATAACGGTTTAAGTCCTAAGCAGCCTGTTTTCATACTTGAAGACAGCCTTGCTGCCGCCTGTTTGCTTAGTGTATGATTAAGATGTTTTGTTGTTTTTTTGTTATTATATTCAGATTTGTTGTTGTATCGTGAGAGCATATGTTGTTGCTGATTTTTTATGATGTTTAATTTGAACAAACAAATGTAGGGAACTACGATACATGCCACTGTCCGGAAAAGTTTGGTTGGAACTTTTGAGAAGCGAATAAAGGAAGGGTCTGTGTATGTCTTTGCCTATTTTGGCATCGGCATTAGTAGTGGAAATTATCGGACCTCTCGACATGAGTTCAGACTGAATTTCCAACCAAGAACCACTGTAGCTGCATGTAGCTGTGAGAGAATACCTGTGCATGGTCTTAAGTTGACTACTATTTCAGAAATATTGCAGGCAGACTCAAACTACCCGTATTTAGTTGGTAATATATCACTCACTTATCCAAAATTTAATTTACTCCAATAAGTTTATGATTATATCTCACATTTTTTCTTTTATCAGACACTATGGGGGTCCTAACTGCTGTGGGCAAGCAAAAAGAAATTGTTAAAGAGTCCAAAAGGACAAAGATGATTGTGATTCAGTTAGAAGCGGATGGGTACTTTATTTTATCATAACTTTGTAGCAACGACAATATGAATATAACATCTATACAAGATTGATTTATTCTATTCTTTTTACTTGGTGATTCAGGGTGACGTTAGATATAACACTGTTTGGGGAGTACGTTGACAAGATCAAAAGCTTCTTTGGGAGACAACCATTGGAAAATGTGATCATTGTGATTCAGTATGCAAAGGTGAAAACGTATCAAGGTACTACAAATGGTTATATACTAAAAACATTATGTTGATTATTTTATGGAAACCTTATCGTCATCTTTTGTGTTAATTTTAATTTAAAACTATCCGTGTGGAATATTTGCAGGAAATGTAAATTTGCAGAATGTCATGTACGGAACGCGTCTCCTGTTAAATCCTGAAATAGAAGAGGTTGTTGCATTCAGACAAAGGTATAAAAATTCAGACCTTGAGACTTTTACCAACTACCGTAAATATGTGTCTGTTTTTCACTCGCTAACTATGCACAAATGTCTCATTTGCTTAAGGATTGTTGGTGTGCCAACGAACCGTCGACCTCTTGAGTTGCCCTGTGATGACGTGACAGTTGTGCAGCAAAATGAATTTTTGGATGCCACACAAATGACGACAATCTCTTTGCTGAAGGATGGTAGTGAGGTATTGATGATATGTTTTTTAATATAACAGCCTCCAACGTTAAATGTTTATTATTGTGGTGATTTCGCCCATACGCTAATGTATGATTTCTATTCTACCAGGATGGTACCTATATAGTGTACGCCACTGTTGTTTCTGTGAACAATATTGGGGATTGGTTTTATTTGGCTTGCAAGTGTAATAGGGCTGTGAGAGCTGATGGTACCATGTACTATTGCGCGTATTGTGGGTGTCGTGTTATGAATGTCACCCCAAGGTTAAGTTTATCATACTCTGACTTTCCCAACATTCACTTTTATTTTCTGCTGCATAGTGTACTAAATGTGATTTTTATTCAGATATCTAATCAAGCTATCTGTTAGAGATGATTCCGGTTCAGCTATCTTTGTGTTATTTGACCATGAAGCCGCTTCGATTTTAAATATGTCATGATCCCTTTTGCTGGAAAAGACAGATAGTGTATGTGTCATGCTCCCTTTTACGTATTTCAGTTATTTAATCTTTGAACAGTTAATGACTCTTATTTTACACAAATTGAATGATGGAAGTACTGAAAGTCCAAAAGAGTTTGCTGATTTTTTGATGGGTAAGAGTTTCCTATTTAAGGTCGAAGTCAAGTCGATGTTCAGAGGACGTCTAGAACAATCTTTCAGGGTATCAAAAGTGTGTCATGATGCAACAATCCCGACTCAATATTTAGAAGGTGTTTCGCCCCATGATATAAAAAATACCTCAATGAATCATGGGCTACTTTATTCAGTGGATGAGGACTTTCTTAAACTTACTAAGGCTGCAACAATAGAGACATTAAAAGATTGTATTGAGGTTAGATGAGTATATTAAACTACACACGCACGCCTGACTTTACGGGTAATGTAGTGACTTAAGTGTGTTTTGATTTGTAGGACGGTGAATATGCAGTATACGGTACGATCAAGGATGTTGATTCTGATTGGTTTATAACAGTGTGTAGGTGTGGGTCCGAAGTGGTCCCACGCGGTGGATCCTATTATTGTAATGAGTGTAAGAGACGAGTGATGAATCTGATCCCAAGGTTTGGTTTTTACTAATTTCCAATGCTTAATGCTTTATGTCAACAATTTTTTATTAATTGACTCCTGAAAAACAATTATGATTCAGGTATCGAATCAAGACAAGAGTTGTTGACACCACGGACAGTGCTACTTTCGTAGTACTTGAAAGCGTTGCATGCTTGCTGCTCCATAAATCATGTTCGGAGATGTTGAAATATTCTGAGGTATGGATAAATATGTGATTATAACAGCTCATCTTACACCTGTTTTAAAACCAAATTTCAATTCTTTGACACATGTTGAGGTATTCATCGTCGTGATTTATTGAACTATTTAAAACCCCGTAGTTCTTTAAAGGAAACGATGGACAGAATAGAAACCTGCACTGTCTCATAATTGGTCTTGAATAGATGGACAGAACAATGACATCTGACTTTATGTTTCTTGATTTGTCATAGGCTGAATTTTTCTTAAACAAATAATATAAATTGAACAAGTTATGAGCCCTCTGATTTTATGTATAGACGGCATGATAATGACTAATATATGTTATGAAAAGGTGATTTTTTATCAAAGACCACACTCACGTTACACGGTTTGACCTCATTTGCTCTTGGTTTTTTTGGAACTGTCAAACCTTTCCTGCTCTTGGTTTAGCAGAGGCATTTGTGGCCTATCTAAAGTGAATTCTTCTGTGATTTTTTCCATGTCCTACATCTTCTTTAAGCATTTTTTAAGCATGCACTATACTCAATACCAAGACCGCATTGTCTTAAATCTTCTACTCTTGATTTTTTTGTAACTGTCTGAACTCTAATGAGGACGAAATTTGAAATCTAACATGAGAGGGCTCTTCAATGACTTTGATCCTACCTATAATGTCATTGACATTTGTTTTGATGAAAGAACAATCTCGCGATTCAAGGAAAAGCATGCAACATTTTTCTCCGTCCAGGTTTGTGAACATTATTAATCGAATGTAAATATCACTTAGTGAAAATTTTGTTTTGTTACTAATATGACATAATTTTAAGATGCAAATAAAATGCTAAATGGGTAAATTATTATTAATAGACTGATGTGACTTTGGGACTTTCAACTGGGAAATGTATTTACCAAAGTTTAAACATGCACAACTAAATAACCTATCAGGTAATGTAAAACTGACACAACAATGAGAGATGCACTGCCTGAAT